TAAGGCTTGGTTGCGAGGGGAGGTCCACAGGGAGGGGTGCTATCACCTCTACTGTGGAATATGGTCCTCGATATTCTCATCAGCCGCCTTAATAATGACAGTCACTACACAATAACATATACAGATGACCTGGTCATTCTGCAAACAGGGAATTTTGAGAGTATATTCTGCGAAAGAATTCAAGTAGCTCTAAAAATTGTAGAAAAGTGGTGCAAGGACCATTCACTGTCTATCAATCCTATGGTACCGAAAACCAAAAACCACATATTCTTCTACAGCTTACGAGAGCTATTGTAGCTTTATGTGTGAGTTTTTTGAGATGTTGATTCCATGTCAGCCTTTGGTCAATAAATATTTAGTTACTTTTTAATCATTTTGTTAAGAAATTTATCAATTTTTAGTTTTTTCTGGAATACTTCGGAATTCATCTCTTCATGGTAACCTCCCATCTTTTTGCCTTTAAAACCAATAATGTATTTTCTACAAAACCCTCTTCAGAATTATAATATGTAAAATAATAAGTCGTCTTTCTTTTCTTGTAGGGCTTTTCAGGAATAGTATTCGATGAAATTTAATCGTAGAAATTTAATACAATTGCTTACTAAAGTTCTGAAAAGAACTATTATTTACGAAAAATAGTAAAAAATATCAAAATATAAAATACCACAACTGTCAGCAATATCAATTATTAGCTGATGTTAATATTAAAAATCTGATGTGTCCAACACATGACTTTCCTATCTAGTTATTATAGGCTTCTTCCGGTTATTTTGTACAACCTATTGCAGCACCTCTATAAATGTTTAGAGGATAAACTAAATATATACATTGTCCACATACATCTACCTCGAAACATCTTTTTATAGATATTCATTGAAAACGAAAATACTGAAAAATTTAAATTTAGTACTTTTCCATTACGGTCCATTTTATAAAAATCATGTATAAACAAAAATTATAGAGATAGATATCGCAAACAACTTTTAGTTCAACAATTTTCATAAAAATCAGAATTTTGCACATTTTGTCAAATTTCTCGAACCAAAAATTAACAGCTATCCGTAAACTAGAACAAATTCAAAGAACAGCATATCTCAACATAACAGGAGCCATGAAAACAACACCGACTAGAGCGATGGAAGTCATTCTTAGTCTCACTCCCCTTGATATTTACATCAAGGAGGTTGCTCTGACGACAATGACACGAGACGTCACTTTTGGCAGGAGGCGCTGGATACGCTCCCACTGCTTCAAGCGAAGATGGACTCCATCTCACCGAAATATATCTTTCGTAAGCCATATAAAGTTACAATAGAACAAATAAAAGAGCCGGGAGTGGCAGGTACGATTCATATCTACACCGACGGTTCTAAAACAAAACAAGGCTCAGGATGTGGAATATACTCCAGATTCTTAAACCTAAACATAAAATGGGCTGTGAGCAATAGTGCCAGTATAGTTCAAACAGAGCTAACGGGGATTCTCATAGCAGCAAAAGAAATAACCAGAAACAATATTACTGGAAGGAACATGCTCATGTATACAGACAGCAGACAAGCACTACTCACCCTGAACAGGCCACGAATTTATTCAGGGTTAGTACTAGAATGTCACGAAGCTTTGGCCGAAGTATCCATCAACAACGTGGCCATCTTAAGATGGATTAAAGGTCACGCCACATCGAAAGGTAACCGTCTTGCTGATTCACTAGCCAAGAAAGCAGCCAACCAAATACTTTTTGGACCTGGCCCTTCTATTGGCCTGAGAAAATCGGTAGTGACAGACTATTTCAAAGAACATTCCTTTGTGAAATTCAAGGAAAGATGGGATGAAACAAGAAACTGCAGAGTTGCCAGGGAGCTCTTAAGTTATCCTGACAACACTACAGCAAACAAATACTTGAGTATGATTAGACAGAATCTGCGCCTAGTCACAGGCATTGTGACTGGTCATTGCCAAGTACGAAAGTATCGGCTAACACCAGCCGATATAAGAGAAGCACCTCTTGACGACGTTGTCAACTACATTAAATCTGTAGGCTGGCTCACGAGCTAGGAGGTGCCTATCTTCTCAGGAGGATGCGCAATAGGCCTAATGAGGCCTAAGTGCCGTGGGGTAACCCACCCTCCACACGTTACAGATACAGAGATCGATAGCTTTTTTTATTATTGGAGATACGAAGAAATTTTTAATATAAAATTTTTACGACCATATTTTACAATTATTCTTAAATAAACGATGGGCTAACCAAACTCATAATTTTTTAAAGCAAAATACCCTGTAGGTAATTACACACCGTGAAACAATTTTAACAGATTTCACTCATTTGCTATGTAGTAGGTATACAGGGTGTGTCAAAACTAAAAGTTACGATTTTGTCAATTTTTCAAATGGAATACCATGTATATTATACCACCAATTAATTTCTTTAATTTTTATGTTTTTTTGTATTCCTTAGGTATACCGAAATATTTTTTTGTGACATCAGGAAAACAGAAAAACGTTTATTATTTTGGAAAAGATGTTCTTTTGTTTTTAATTGTCATAATGTTTTACCTTAATTATTAGATCATTGGATAAGTCTGACAAGGCTCTCGGGGTATTCCACATTAGCCAGATGGTATTTTAAGCTGTTATCAAAATATATAGGCTAACATCTGATAAATTTTCATGACTGCGGAAACGAGTGAAATTTTTTGTTGAAAATTTTTCAGTTTTTCCCCTGCCAAATATATTATCCATACTCACAGAATAGCCAAACTATTTGTTTACTTAACTTCAATATACCTCTTACTACCAGAACTATTTTTATCATTGGAAAAAAAGAGCCGCGTTTTCATATGTTCTAATGCATTTTCCCCCCGAACCCCCCTAAACTGAATTTTGCTTAGAATTACTACCCCTACAATTCTACAATCCATGTTTGCTGTGTATGAGGTATAAATTTGGTTCGCCCCTCATTATGGACTTCCCTGTATATTTAATAATAATTGTAAAATATTGTCCTACAACTGTTGTATTAAAAATTTCTTCGTATCTCCAATAATAAAACAGCTATCGATCACATACACACCAATGGGACATCCTGTGCATGTATAACTGGCTACCCTGTTGCTTTATTGGATAGGTAAATTTATAAGGAATTTTATACGAAAATAATGAGAAAATTGAATTTAAGACATGTTTCAAGACGCTCTGTATAAAATAAACCAAGTCTATCGCCATTGTTCGTTAGCTTGGTATCTTACAAGTCTGTATTTAAAACAATTTTGAAATCGTTGCTAACCTACCTAAATTATGATAATTTAATTTGGGGTCTGCATCATTCTGAAATTTCAAAAAATAATGAATTGCTTGGCATCCTTTTAATATTTTTCAAAAATATTTTAGCGTTGGATACATTATTACTAGACCATGAAATAAAATACATGGTTAAAAAAATATATATTTTTATTTTGTCAGGCAAAAGCTTAACAACCTGTATATAAAAAAATAATAAAATATAAAGCTATTGCGCACTAAATGGGACACCCTGTACATTGGTACCTACCTAATATAATTTTAAGAAATTCGTAACAGAACAATTTTAATTCATTTTGAACGACCCCATCAGTTTTTTAAACACTAATAATTATGAAATACTGAACCACACGAAATAAAAGCAAAATTGCCAAAAATGCATTAAAATTTTTGATTTTTCAAGTAGCAGTCAGTAATTTAACTGTTAATTATGATGTCGCACAAAGAATTTAATGACGACAAAAAAACTGATTATTTAAATAATTATATAACCAGTTTTATAAAAACGAAATTTCTATAAAAAAAGATTTCAACTTCTGCTCCATTTTAGGGCACCCTGTACCTATATTCGTTTAAGAATATATTTTTTATAAATAAAAATTTTAAACACTTCAATAATAATTATAATTTATGCCAAACTGTCATGCTAGACCAATTATTAAATACGCTAAAAAATAAAACTCTTTTTATCATTATCGTCAGCTTCTAATAGTAAAATAATTTAATTGACATGTTACTACTTCCTGCTGATATTTCATAAAATGTACTTATTTCTTTTAAAATAATTTTGTTATATAGAAAGAAAAAGATCTACTTACCTTAATTAGGATTAAGATTTTTTTTAGTGATATATATTCCATATAGTTGTAGATAGTATTTTAATGTTTGTTTTGGAATTTTTATAACCTCAAATAAGCACTTTCTTCTACTTATGGTCGTTGTAATATAAGCAATATCATGTGATTCACAATATTAATTCGGGTAGCAACATACTTAAATGGGAAAAAATGTCTAGAAATTCCTACAGGTTCTAGAGATAAAATCTGATATTTTTTTTATTTAAATTCCAGTAAAAATAATCATTGATAAAATTAATTCATTCTTTCCACTTTGTTAGTTTACGTACCATAACTTAAAGGATTAATAAAACTTATTGGCAGCACTCATTTCTGTCATTTTTCCCTAGATTTGCAATATCTCCATTGAGCCAGTGAACGACAGGCGTTACGAGACCGATGATATTGAAATAATAAAACCCGTACAGTGTGTTCCTATTGTAACGCCGGACACCAACTGTTATCGACTTATGTAGAGATTTGCCGGCTCGACAAGTGGGAGCGACAGGGGGGCAAAATCACTGGAGCCTGTGCCTAAGGGGGCCCGACAGCTTAAAAAAATAGATTACAATATGTGGAGATCTGACCAACCCGCCTTTCAACAAAGACTTAAAAAACGCCAATTTGGGTAGAGGCTGCGATTCACCCAAATCACCTGACAGCATTGCAAATAGAGCATTACGAGAGCGATTTCCTACTAGATCTGACGAATTGTTATTTTGCCGAAACAGTTGCCATTAAAAATGGATAATCGATTCCAGCCATTTTTCCCCAGAACTGCGACAATAAATTTTCAGTTCGTGTGTCCCTATTTTCTGCAATTGCAAGGACGTCAGTAAGTGGCTATAAGAGGCTTTTAGATCGTTAAAGCCACGTTACAGTTGCGACAATTCATATTGCATGTCTAACCAGCTGTTGCAATTTTTCTTGCAATTGCAGAAAATAGGGACGGGGTGAAAATGTATTGCGTTACAGCTGCAATTCCGGGGTAAAAATTATTGAAATGACCGCTACCAATCGCTTTAAAAATTACTAGGGTATAAATTTCATGCATTTAATATGTTTTGTGTTACGTTACATAAATGAACTCACTGGAATATGAGAGAATCCAAAAATTATCAATGATGTATGTTTCATAATTATTAAATGGCATTTTACGTAGTATATATTTTGGCGAACAAGTGTAATACAGCCAGTAATTTATGTTGCGTTTAAAAGGTCTTGCCAGTCTTGCCTCAATTTTAGTTGCAGCGAAGGAATTTGCGAAATGTCAACTTTAACATTTTCTGTTTAGAGCCACATAAATGATATTTAATACAACCATTTATATGTATACAAAACTTTTCTATTTAATCGATTCAGTTAGTTTTTATTAGCTATTCCAGATTGTATTTTTGTAATATTGAAAAACTATTCAATATTATTGTTCCACCGATAAAATACAATCTTGGCCAAACCTTCTGATATTATATATTTGTATCTACCATGATGAAACAAACAGAACATGAATGGAAGAAAGTAGGTTATTAGGTACAGCGAAAGCACTCAAGGAATTTTGAAAACCTTTTTTTAATAAGTTGTACTTTTTACAAATGTTGTCTATTTCATTTTGACGAATGTGTATACCTTCACAAATAAAATATATATATTTACCTCACGGTTTAGTTTTATTAATACACATTTCCAACCTATCCATTGTGTTTTTCTTGCCTAAAATTTCCATCATTTCTGCTATGCTTGGTCCCTCCTACAAAAATGTTAACAGAACAATCATACAAAGAAGATGTAGAGACAATTACAGAAAGATAGATGAATAAGAATGTATTTAAATGTATCAGATAATTGGTTAGAAATCATGTCAGAAAAAAAATACAAATTGTATTTGAAGGGTGATGGAAAAGGTCTGGGAGATGATTAAAATACACACATCTCCAAAAGTCTTAGCCCTCCTGGGTAGTTTTAAAAATAATCAAACAATTTGGAAAAAATTTGGTGAATCTTATTCTTCGTTTTAAAACCAAACTATGTGATACACAAGCTTTGTAATTTGCTTTCCGAATAATGCAGAATTAAGGAAATTACAAAAAAGGTCCAAAAATTGTAAGTAAGAAAATGTTATTTTTTGAGAAAAATGTTATATCGCAACAAAAACATAACTTAATAGTCTGTATTATGGCCCCTACTTTCAATCAATTGGTCAACGTGTCGCGGCATCTCGGGAATCAGGTTATCAATAAAATGACCAGGCATATTGTCCCACTCTTCTTGAACAGTTATAATCAAGTCCTTAAAGGTAATTCGATATTGCCCTGCCAAGATAATCTTATACATATTCAATGGGTTATCATTTCTAGTGAGTTTGGCGGCCAATTATTCTTTGGATATTTTTTCCTATAGCACGTTTGGTAAACTTTGCGTTCGATGCGGTCTGGCATTATCGTCTTGAAAAATGACATTGTCCCCAAATTCGATGTGCAAAGGCTGAATAATTGGCTGAATTAATGTTTTCAGCGTTTATCGGACCTTTCATATTAATTAAAATAAGTGGGGTGCGGCGACGAAACATTATACCCCCCAAAACACCACTGATCCGCCTTAATAGAGAACAACACCTCTTGCAAAAGTGAGTCGTTCCTGTGTGTCTGGATCCCTCCAGGCACTTTCCCGTTGACTATCACTCTGTAGGCCAAATCGTGACTCGTCCGAAAAAAAAAACGTTGCACCATTGTGGTAAAAATCAGCTCCTATATTCTTGAATCCATTGGCGTTATGCAGCTCTGTGTCGAGTTAAAGCCTAGGCACTTTTAAAGGTCTTCTTGTCCTTAGATTTGAGGAATTCAATCTCCTTCTTATGGTACTTCTCGAAACTGACCTCCGCTAGATTTGCATAAAATAAGTTCGAAGGGCTGTTACCGTTATATTTCGGTTCCTTCGGGTAAAATTTGCCATATACTAGTCTTCACTCTCCGATGTCACTCTGGATCGACCAGTCCCGGCCTTCACACAACACTGCTTTTTTTCTGGAAAATGGCCACTATGCGCTGGACATTTAACAAACCTGAGAGATGAGCTGGCATTTTACGACAAATTTACTTAATAGTTTAATACTCGATGTCAGCTTAGAACTGATTTCTTTTCAAAAAGGGCATATTTTCGAACAAAAATAATGTTTGTCTTACAAACTGTTATTTTTATGTATGATAAGATAATGAAGAATGTATACACAAAAAATAGTCAGCTCACATTGAACGCGGTAAAAGTTGCCAAGAATTTTGGAGATGTGTGTATTTTATTATTGATATCAATACCTGTAGTCCACTTAGCACATATCTCAGCATTTTCATAAAGCTACCAAATTTAACACCATTTTCTTTACAAAATTCCTTCAGCATCGTATTTACCCCTTCCTTAGTTAAATCGGTTACACTTTCTAAGCGTTCTTTTAAGCGTCTGACAGTTTCCATTTCGCTATCATTAATGTCAGTATCCGTGGGTAAAAACCATACGAATTCCAAATTTGACGATACTAAATCTGATAATTTATTAATTCTAGGAACAGACCACTCTAAGATGTTTCTTATATATGCATCATCATATTGAAGACTGTTGTTTTTTATTCTTTGAGGAAAATTGTTTTTTAAAATTTCTTTAACTTCATTAACGAGCAGATTTAAATCTATTTCATTATTAATCTTTCTTTCTAATTCCAGCTTATTAAATTCAAATAACCTTTCGTCCATAATTTTGCCCGAATGCGAATTTATCCTAGATATATCAAACTAAAATGAATAGAAATTTTATTGAATTGTTTACAATTATTTTTAAGTCTTTACCTGTTCAACTAACTCGTCCATACTGTAACATTTTGGTTTCAAATGTTTCTGTAAATCTTTGGTAAAGCCACCTCCTGAATGTACTATGAAGTTTATTAATGCTTGAGGAAATATACCAGTTTCTTTATAATAATTTATTCTAATGTCACCTTGCCTTTTACTTAACTTTGTCCCATCGGAATTCATGAGAAGGGGCAAATGCCCAAATATAGGAGGTGTCCAATTAAATGCCCTAAAATACAGTAAGTACACAATTATTATAGTATAAATTAATATATGGCGCACATAACTTTAGAACGTTATTGGCAGAATAAGGTTGTTAAATATATTTATGATAATCTTACTTATAAAGAAGTATGTGTTTGGTAGTAGATATCTGCCATTCAACACCTCTTAAAACATGTGAAATATCCATCATATGATCATCTACTACATTTGCAAAATGATAAGTTGGATAACCATCAGTTTTTAATATCACAGGATCCCCTTCACTTAAAGAAACATTTGAAGTAATTTTACCATAAATTAAGTCATCAAAGCTTTCATCTTTATCGCTTATCTGAAATGTATATAATTATTTTTCATATAAAGCGTTCTTAAATAGTATTACCAACTTTGAACCTAATACAAGATGGCTTTTCTTCGTCCAAATTTTTCTTTATTTCCTCTGAACTTAAATGCCGACATCTGTTGTCGTATTTAGGAATTTCTTGCTTTCTTATAGCTTCTTTTCTTAAAAGATTTAGACGCCTATCTGTACAAAAACAACGATAACCTAAACCATTGTCTAATAAAATTTGAATTTGTTCTCTAGAATAAAATGGGAACTGTAAGTACAGGGTGTCCCAAAAAGTATTATACAAATGGAAAAAAGTTTATCTTGTTTAACAAAAAACAATATATTCATGATAAAAAGTTCTGCATCTATAATCAAACGTCAAATTTTATAAACTATAGATGGTACGCATAGTCTAAGTAACGAAGTAAGGTCAACCTGCACCCATCTTCTCATCGGATAAAAGTTATTTTTTGCTAAATAAAATATGTTTATAAATTAACCGCAAATGGGTTACGTAAGAAAATACTATCAATACTATTTATTTTCTTAAAACGTAAATAACAGATTTATTCCATAAAGTCGAAAAACCTCTCTATAAAGTGACCCCCTCCCTCCGCCATTGTTCGATGTTCCGACTGTGTCCAAAATCTAATCAGCTCTCCGCAGGATGGATTAAAGTTTAAGTTTAAAATTTGGTGTCTTTCTCTTTATCTGTTTTTGAAATTTGAATGTTGAAAATTACATGTATAAGCGTGGCTTGGTAGTGTTGCCGGATATCCAGACCTCCGAAGCATCCATCGAACTCTGGTGGTAGCAGTCTGCAGCCTGTATGAATGGGAAACCCCGAGATAGCTGTGCACCACACACACAACACAAAAAATTAGATTATTCACGCATCCATTTGAAGTGACCGTTAGTTAATTTTTTCTCCATTTGGATTTCGTACCTACAAACGAATTCACCAAACGGATTCATTCCATTTGCAGTGATGAGAATGGGGGCCATAAAGATTCAATTGAAATGTGATCCGGCTCACTGATACGGATCTTTCAACTAATCCAGACTCGCTGACCCGGATCTACAAAATGATCCCCACAGAACAATTACTTTTAGAATGGAAACTGCAATGTTAAAATTTGCGACAGTTTTGTAACACCCGGTGGGCGTTCTTTGAACTATTTGGCGGAAGTGGCGCCATCTCGCGGTCACTTTAGTTAATACAAAACGCGGGAACATTCAAAATGGTCCTTCAATATTTAGTTTAAAAGTGGTAGTCAAATTAAGATTTGTTCATACCAACTCCTTTTTTACGTTTATTGTAGCAATAAAATTATATTTGTTACAATAAAGCAAAAAATGAGTAGTATGAACCAATATTAACTTGACTACAAGCTGAAATATTTTTACAAAAAATTAAAAAGCATGATCAACAAAATTAATTTATTAAAACAAAAAAACATACAAAATAGAATAATTAAATGTAGCGTGTTAATTAGCTGGAAAGTTAAGTCATTGTCTACAGAGGTTGAAGAGTTTTATCTAAAACAAAAAATAAATATTAATCAACTTATAAATCAAGAAGGGTACAGGAACAAAAAAGCAGCTAAGCCACATTTTTATCAAAATTGAACTGGTCCGCCCTATTTTGTAAATTACCAGTATTAGCAAATGCAAAACAGTGCATTTAAAATTATGTCCAAGGACTTTCCTACTGTTTGTTTGTCATTTTTAGTATTTAGAATAAAAAATTACAACTGTCTGGTAAATTAAGTGGTAAAGTACAATATAATCAGGCAACATTTAAACAAAGTAACATCTTTTTGTAATCAATTACCTTAAAGTATCAAAAGTTTGTATTTAGTCAGTCTAAATTAAATTTGGTTTTCTGAACATTTTGGTAATTAATTGTGACTAGGCCCCTTTTTTTCCTGAACCCTTCAAATCTATTGGGGAGCACAGAAAGTGAGGCATAAATAAAAAAAGGTATACTGACCATTACTTCCCGGACTATGCTATTTTGTCTTCCACAATCCAATATTGCCATTCCAAACGGCTTGAAGAAAGTTTGTACTAGAACAAATAAAAAAACAGTAAAAGTAACAATCTGAACTAAATCAATATAAAAATCAGATGTGAGGCATGAATACAAAAAGTACAGTGACTATTACTTCCCTGACTAGGCTGTTTTTGTCTTCAACGATGCAATACTACTGCCACTCCAAACGGCTTGAAAAAGTTTGTACTAGAACAAATAAAAATACAGTTAGATCGCTGCGTGCACCAAGAATTTTAAACATATCTTCAAAATGTTTATCACATACTAAATAGTTTTTACAAATTTGTTGTTTTATTCTTGAAAAATGGACTGGGAACACCCAATACTCAAATTTGAAATAAATCGTTATTAGGATTTCAGAGTGTTTACAAAACAATTTGGCATACAACAATACGATATATTACAGCTTTTGTAACTAAAAATGACCACAAAAATTTAAAATAAGCTCAATCGTCAGCAAGATCAAGTAAACAAATTGAACATTTAAAACACAATTGAACAAGACCAAGTTGACAATACAATAAACAATTATTTACAAAATACTTACTATTTATTCATCCAGGATCCAGAGCACACCCAAATACAAACAAATAATAATTATTGACAATATGATATTGATAAACACAAAAATACAGGTAAAATGGCAAATGTCATTCACCGCGAGGTAATCGATAATGGATGCCTGACAATTGACAAATGACACTCCCACTCTTTCCACCATCAATTGTAGATTTCTGTAAATTGTTGTGTACAGCACCATCTAGAATCTGTTCCTTGAAACAAAAATATAGTTTCAGCTCGGGCTATACCAGTTACCGATACCTGATGATCCCTATTGTCTCTATTACTATTCGGAACAAGATACCGACCGCCGTTATAGTACCTATGCATCCCCTCTACATTCCTACCTCCATACTCAAGTAGGTACGACAGTTTATTTCGATAAGAATTTTCAAGAAAAAAAAATTCAGTTTTATATGACTGACTCTCGTATAATGACAGAATAAACTTTGATAAGTTGAATTAAAAGGTCAAACAAAGATTTTTTGTATATATACATTGTAAATTCGCCAGAAATGTATAAAAAAAATTTTGAAATCACATTCAACAAATATTTATAACTAGCCAAAAACGCTGTGTCTAGGTTTACGGTGCCGTAAGCTAAGAAAAATAAAACAGTTAATGTTTAAAATATGTTTTTGAAGCTTGGTAATCAACTGCCTCGGTAGCGCAGTAGGCAGCGCGTAAGTCTCATAATCTTAAGGTCGTGAGTTCGATCCTCACCCGGGGCAATTTTTTTTTTTTATTTTCTAATTATCACAAATCGTTAAGTATTTTTGAATTTTATTTTCATTATAGCTATAATTTTTTGAGCCATTATCGATGACTTCAAACCCTACATGATAAATCATTTGGTAACAGTTTTAATTTTTTTATTGTATAATGTACATTTTTCACAGGGGCAGTATTGCCAAAGTTAAAGTCTGACGATAGTGCTCAAAACTTCTTATACGCGCTTTACATCTAACAAATTAATAGATGAAATGGCCAAACTGAATGTGAATAAATTCATTAAGTCTTTCATGATAAATAGAACGGGTGGCACAAAATTTATGGAATACATTTGACATTTGATTAAATATATCTGATCCAAAATATTTGATCGAAAAAACAGCTAATCGAATAATAATTGATGATAAACAAAAATGATCGAAAAGAATTATGATAGAAAAGAATAATCATCAAAAATAAAATTAAAAAGATAATTGATCAAAAAACCAAGAAATCGAACATTAAATCATATAATTATAGATTAAAAAAAAATAACTGTAAATATGTAATAGTATATTATTTAACGAGCGGTAATGCAGGTCATAACTCACGCAGATGAAGTTTGCAGCACGAGCCGCAGGCAAGTTGAATACTATACTTTATCTACGACTATAGCAAGAGATACTAAGATACAAGTATCGAGAAAGAATTATATAATTGACCAGATGATAAAAACGTTTGAATCTTTGTAAAAGCTATTACCTTTGTCGCCAGATATTTCTCATCAGGAGCTTCATTTATGAAATTATTAAGTTGTTCTGGCGTAAATGTTTTTGCTTTTTTGCCTTTTTAGCTATATGTTTCTCTGATTGACGTTTAAGAAACGCACGTAATTTTGAATAAATATATTAATTTCATTATTTATGTTGAGTGTGCTTCTTATCAAGGAGTAGAAAGTCCATAGAGACGATGCTTTATATTTATTGCTAAGTTCATTAAAATATGCCAAAGGTACATTTTCTGTAAACGAGTTACACCAATCTTGAAAATTTTAGTATACACCTTTATACTTGTTTTTTTATTTTTCTTATTTCTGGAGATTTACATAATGACTCATCTTCTCTATCTAAATTCATCTTTTTTTTAGCACTATTATTAGAAATTGATTTGAAAACGTAAAAATTATCTTGTTAAAATATCAAATGACATTACTCCCCTCAATGTAATAATTGACTGTTCCGCCTACTGAGAGTCGTTGACAATTTAATAATTTTAAAATCTTTTAATTATTATTCATTCTTTTCCAATTGTTAAAGAATCTTTCTAACATTTTATGCCAATGGAACATTTATCGGCTTTAAAATTTCCAAGAATTTACTGCGCACACTATTTACATACCGAATTATCGTAGGAGCCCAGGGTGAGTTATAATAACTCACTATTAAAACTCACGCTATTTGTTTATTGATAATATTAATTGCTCAAAAGCAGTTGAATAATTAATATATAAATTAATAGGAGTAGATAAATACATATTTTGTGCGAATTAATCAAAATGCTTTAATATCAATAACAAATAAAAAAACTTGACTAATTTATAAAACCTGTGCGACAGGGGGCCATTTAAATTTTTCTAAACCAATTTTGAAATAGATTAAATTTGCATCCCATAAGTTCTGCATTAATTGCAGATAAAGAAAAAGAACCAGTTTTCTATCCTCCCGAATTCAAGAATGGCTACCTTGAGTTAATGGTGGATTAATAAAGTAGCTGTGAGACCGTATGTGATATGGTTTCAACGAAATAGCCACCTAGTGAATCTTATTTGGCGCTTTCCTAACGATTATGAGAACAACGACCAATTTTAGATTATGTTAAACAAATTGTTTAAATCATATAAATTTGTTCTATTCTTAATTACTATTATTTCCTTAACAACAGTAGTAAATATTCAATTTTTCTAATTTTAACATATAAAGTGACATTTTTTGAAATCGCAGCAAGTGTCAAAATGATCTGCTTCACGCAACCAGTTGCATAATGTTGAACATTATGAAACTGGTTACGAAAAATTCATGTCACCAGTTACGAAAAGAAAACAGTTAAAAATAAACCTTTTTGGTTTTAAAATTAATATATACATTATGATTAGAAGTTTATATCAAAGAAGGGCACGTTGACTTATAAAAATAGAATTTGGTTAAACTTAGAACCTGGTAATAATATAGTTTTGTTCTTTATTTTCCATTCTAAATCAACACGAAATAATTAAAACACAATACACGACAAAATAACTCACTTTCTTGAAAACTAAAAAACGTTATCGAGCAATATAAACACACAAGTCGTTGAGAATAAATTAATATGCTATTTGTCAATCAAATCAATGAAATGTATATGCAACTAACAATACAAGAAAGTAATATTGGTTGCCTAGATGTCAGTAATGTTTTACCAAAACATATTTTTATAAATAATCTAGTCATAATTAGAACAAATATTGTATGTAACATGTTAGGAAATGCCGTTGGATGTAACTCGTTCATGTTGCGGGACCTTGCTCTGCTCGTCCCGCAAATATTCACTGGTTGCAATAATACGTATTTCCAAACCATTATGTTTTATTTATTTTTTCTATTTTACAATTTTGAATCTGTTTATTTTCGATATATTGTCCTTTCGAACTATAGAATAATTGATTTATAGAATAGAATACTTTATTTAACTGTTATTTAAAATAAATGTATAGCAGGTAAAAAAAAAAACAAAATGTTTACAAAATAAACAACCAATGAAATGAAAGTTAAAATCAAAACAGTGCCATCATATATTATACAATTATAATATTAACTAACAACATGAATTTATATGTATGTTCAAATATAAGTACAATTAAATAAAATATTAGAAATTCGTAAAACCTAATGGTATGAACAAAAAAATTTCTTAATTAAAATGTAATCACTACAAACAAAATATTTTTTAGGAGAGCTTGAATGAGAAGACCCAGGTAGAATGCACCATCAACACAGAAATGTTCAGAAATATAATAAAAACTGTTGTTTACAAAATTACTAGGAAGTGCATTATATTGACTAGACTAATGTCATATGAGTTTTTGCTTAATTTTAATAACATATATCTAGATAGTCTAATTAAATAAGCATTTTTATTGCTCTTTTTTATTGTATAAAAATAGCTTGATTCAAGCGAGTTTCCCCATAACGAAAATCCATAAGATATATCAGAATGAAAAGAGAAATGCACTATTTTTAAAATATTATGAAAAATAGTTGTTTTTAATTTTATTGATGAAGTAAGATTGAGTGTTAGATAATTTTTTTAAATTGTCCAATATTACTAGACCAATTTAAGTTCTCATCAATAGTAGGTAAAACCTAACAATTTTAGGCTTCATGTTTTCAACTATTATTAGCATTTCTTTACATTTAACCAGTCAAATAAGTTTAATTTGTATAAAGCAATCATGATATGAACCACATTTCTTTAAGAAAGAAACTAACATTTCCTTTTCAGTGATAGCCTCTATCAAATTTACTTTTGGGAATTTATAGAGTTGAAAATTAATACATGCTTGAAAAGTTATTGGTTGCAGTTTTATAGTTTTTTCATGGTTTATAAACATAAGTTACTTCCAATTATTATTGATAGGGTTGGATAGATAAATAAAAGAGCTTAATAAAACTAATAAACTATGACATAAACATAATTTAAATTTTACTCTATAGTAATAATTTGATAATAATTTCTTTTTATATTTTTAAAGTTGATTTTATTTTGTCATTGTAGTTAGGAGTTATATTTTATTGAAAAAGGTTTATGAAACATTCGTAATACATATTCAATTTAAAATATCTGCATATAGTTTTTATGTTTAAATGGAAATTCCCATTTTTTAACGAACAATTGAATTTCTTGTACATTTTCAAGTACCTAAGAATCAATGTAATGAAATTTTCTTCCAGTTGAAAAAATTGCTAATATTTCTATATCGACATGTTACTATCAACTCATTTAAGGAAGAAAACATAAAATATATCACTTCTAAGAAGTATTTGCTAGCTCAGAGTTCCCATTGTGGCAGACCCAAACTGCACCCAAAAAGATGATGTCTTTGTATTTATTATAGATATAATAAAACTAAGTAACAGTTAGTCTATTTAAAAAATCATCCTTGACATCATGAATTAAAATTAATATTGGACAGAACACCCATTTGAAAATAAAAATTGACAGGTTTCTAAAAGTCGAGTCATAATGAATGTATTCCATTCTACCTATATACTCTTTCAACATGTATTTTTGCAAACATATTTAATAGGGTCTGCCAATGTAGATGTAAAACTAAAGTAGGTACCTTCAATGAAGATAAATCAAACCAGAATTATGTGTAACCAGTTGGTAATAACAGTATCATAAAAACACCCTAAGTACGTACTTATAAATTTTTAATCTTTGAGACTGGAAATATGGTCCAAAATCGCCCCCTTGTGATGGCCCTTCATCAATTTCTATTCCAGACCATTGTAAATCATCTTGTAATTGCTGTGTGGCTCCTTCTACAAGTCTTATTTGGTCAGTATCTTCAATTCGTAAAATAAATTTACCATTGTGCTTTCTAGCAAAAAGTAGATTATAAAGTGCCGTTCTAAGACCGCCAAGGTGAAGGAATCCTTGAAAAATGTTTTTTTGTTACATAATATTTGTAAGTTAATGGTATAATTACCTGTAGGGCTAGGAGCAAATCTTACCCTAACATTTTTGTTTGCATAGGTCCTTTTACAAATATTACAAATTATAACACTTGCGTAACCAATATTTTTTGTAGATTGAAACATTTTACCTTTTAAAAGTTCTTGTAAAATTCAGAATTTCATAATTGCAATTCAAATATTGCTCTTGTAATAAAAACAATTATTTAAAAAATGTTTGGACCCTTTTTTGACTTTTTATTTCTACTTCTATTTCAGTTTCCAAATCCAAACATTGTTGCCAAACCATTTTTCACCTCGAATAGTTGTTGGCCTAGGGTGAGATTACAGAACGTCTGCAACATGGAGGAAGGATTGTCTGCAACTTTGCAGATCTGCAAATATGGCGGCAACTTTGAAAATCTTGCAAATATGACTGACTTTACACATGCAAGTATCAAGTTTTCGTATTCCAAATTTGGGTTTAGTGTTGTTGGGGGTAATAAACCACAATAAATATTGTGAATTAGCAGATATTTTTTGGAATACTTGCATTTGTAAGTCCGCCATATTTGCAGATCTGCAAAGTTGCAGATCTACAAAGTTGCAGACGTTCTGTAATCTCACCCCTAAATCCCTAACCCCAGTATAGATTTAATATTTAGTTCTTGTTTATGCATTTATTTTTATTTTAATAAACAAATAGTTTTAGATGTTTTTCTAGTGAAAATTAAAAACACAATTGATTACAACAGTCAACAACAACGGTAGAATAGTGGTTTAAGAAGCTAAACAGTAGATCTACTGTTGAAATAATAAACTTGGCAACCACCATTTCAATTTACAAAAATGCCACTACAAAATTTGACAAGAATGAGGTTAAAATTTCTGTTATTCGTTGTTAGGTTGTTGGTAAACTTGTTTATGCAATCTTTTTAGGTTATTTTTCGTAATTCTGCTAAAATAAAAAATAATCATCAAATGATTTCTTTTTGTTAATAAACTGGTAGTAAATCATTTACTTCTTACAATGGTACGTACAAATAAATTAAAATACCAAAATGCAGTAAGTTTGGGTAAAAGAAATTTTATCCAAGGATCTGTCAGAATTATATTCTTTCTTAAAATATCCTAACCTTACTTTAATTTAGAAATAATCATAAATTTTGTTATTTTCAGCACAAATTGAAATCATCGCAAAGGGAAAAAGTGAAAAAGTTTATATCTTTCACCCAAACTGGTGAAAACACAGCCATATATTGCCTTACTCAGAATGATTGGAAGCTAGATCTAGCCAGTGATAATTACTTCCAGAATCCCGATGCCTACTACAAAGAACCGCGAAGCGTAGACAAAAAGAAACTAGAATCACTTTACAATAGATATAAAGATCCCAATGAGCCAGATAAAATTACAGTCGATGGTATTATGAAGTTCTTAGATGACCTAGGTTTGTTATTCTACTTGTATGCTTCTTTAACTAGATAAAATATCTATCTGTGAATATTATTTTATCATAATTATAGGTACCTACCTATTAATAATAATTCATCTTTATAAACATTTGTCTACTGGCACTAATGGTGTTCCACAGGAACCAAGAAGTATTGAGATTGGTTCTCTTTGTTGTTGATATAGTTAACCCTAGATTGTCTGCATTAATAGTCTTTTGTTACCAGTATTACGTCAATTTTACGTGTTCATTTTTAAGTAAAAGAAATTGCAATTAATCATTTGAGACACCTCTTATTCTGATGCTCACCACATACTTACAGATTTCATGCAAATCACAAACTTTATTTACTTCATTCTTTTTTTTTATATAAGGTCAGATGAAAATAGTTTCTAGTTCCTTCTTGGATAGTGTTGTGAATTTCCTCCCACTCTGTAAGGTTTGTTTTGAGTTGATGGCTTATAGTTTCCAGATATATATGCTAATTAGATGTGGGCACATAGGATAGAAACTATAAAACTAACAACTACTCTCTTAGAGTTACCAAACATCACACTTTTAACACTATTAAATCCACATACATTAGGAATGTATAGCTAGACTGTCGATGTGATAGAAGCAGAGAGTAGGGAGATATAAAGGAGTTTTGAAAATATACACATTAAAAAATGTACATATGTATACTGGCAATCTAGGGTTAATCTTGAAATTGTAGGACATTTCATATTTTTGTTGCTGTTTTAACAATAACTAAAAGTAACATCTTTTTAAATGTAAATTATATATAATTAATTAGTTATGAGTTAAAATTTGAGAATCACAAAGAAGTTCTATGTAACAAGACAGCATCAGTTTGTTTTTCTGTTAGATTGGTTGCTTAAGTTTATCAGTAGCATAAAATATTTACTATACTTTAACAGAATTTCATCTGAGATATGAAAATTGTTTTTTAGGGAACATGTTCAACAGAGGTTTTGTAATGTGTAAAGTGAATATCATCTTATTATTTCTAAAATATAAAATTATCACAATAGTCTCAATATTTATTGTGAAAATAAGCAAGGACATCATACTTAGGCAAATGCTTACTGACTGCAGAAATGTTAAGAAACTGTTGTTAGATAGAATTTTTTTAGTGGGAATTTTAACTGATTGGTCTTGGGTACTCATGTCTTTTTTTGTAATGTAGGTAATATTGATTATATTGTTTTACACTTTTATGTTTTAAACTTGTGATATTTTACATTTTTTTGGTTCAATTTGAATCATTGTACAGGAATGTAATTATTACTACAGTAAATTAATGTTGAATTCAATTATTGACTAGATATTTGTTTGTTTTTAGGTTTACCACCTGAATCAAAGCTTGTTCTTATTATAGCGTGGAAATTCAAGGCAGCAACTCAGTGTGAGTTTACGAGAGATGAATTTATAAATGGAATGACAGAATTAGGTAAAGATTTTTTCCATTTTTTTTTTTATCAATTTTTCAAAATGTCTGTAAATATATTTTTATTTTAGGTTGTGATAATATTGATAAATTAAAGGCTAGGTTGCCAACATTAGAAAATGAATTAAGAGATAATTATAAGTTTAAAGACTTCTACCATTTTACCTTTAATTATGCCAAAAATCCTGGACAAAAGGGATTAGACCTTGATATGGCAATCGCATATTGGAACATCGTTTTAAAAGGGAAATTCAAGTTCTTGAATCTGTGGTGTACATTTTTACAGGTAAAAAAGTAGTTAGGTATTTCTCTGGTTAGTCAAGTTAGTGAATCACTTAAAATGACTCAAATTCTTTTATTTGCTCTTTTGTTTTAGGAAAATCATAAACGCTCTATTCCAAAGGACACTTGGAACCTCCTTTTAGATTTCGCCCAACAAATAGCAGACGACATGAGCAATTATGATGAAGAAGGTGCCTGGCCAGTCCTTATCGATGACTTTGTAGAATGGGCATCAACTAGAACCAAGGAAAACCAACCTCATAGCACCAGCCAGCTGGAGTAACATTACTTCTATTTTAATTTTAAAAATCGACTCAAATGGCATTCAATTTATTCATAAAACAAAAAGGATGGCGTGAATATTGTGTAAGAAAAAAGTTGTGAGTGGCTCTAAAGTTATAACAACAATAAAAATCGACATCACCGAAAGTACTAGATATTGTAAAATTAATTTTTAGTAATCAATAAAAGTTATGTTTAAGAAATATTTTGGCACATTTTTAGATTGTTTCAGTATTATCTTTACTTGGTTTGTTTGCCTTTATTAGTTTCTAAATGTGATTGATAATAATTATCAACAAGCTTTTGTTTTGTATGTTAATATTTTAACAGGCAAACAAAATGATAAATCATATTCTTTGCCTAAAGTGGTACCCTTTTCCAAATTTAGTAACAATTTATATAGAGGTTGTAAAATGATTATCAAATAACTGAAGAAAAAATCTAACTTTGTATTTTTTCAGAGCAATATTTTACTAAGACATTTGCTACAATCCTTACATTTTGGTCTAAATAATCTATTAAGACTCATGTCTCATTAGTTATGGGCCATTTTGTTTGTGCATGGTAACAATAAGATGCCAGATTTTATTTAAACCCTATTCTTATCCAATTCGAAGCTGCTTAGATTATTTTTGATATTTCATTATTGTGAAAATTAGAGGCTGCATTAGTGTGACGTAATTTGTGTGGCAAACAGAAACAAACCATTCCATCATTAATTTTGAGATCTCCATTTTATTTGTTTATATTGTTTGCAGGTTGCATAATTCAAAGGCATGTATTCAATTTATTTTTAATGTAACTATTACATTGGTATGCTTTTAAAATAATATTGAAAATATAAATAAAATGTCTGACATCATCGGTCGTGAAAAACCTAATTAAAAAATCCCTTGTTAAATTCAAAGAGAGGTGGTAGGGAACGTTTAAGTTACCCCGAAGACACCACAGCAAACAATGACCCTACAAAATAAAGATCAGCATAGGAATTCTGACTGCTCATTGCAAAGTAAGGAAGCATCTCCATAACAGAGGGGCTGTCAGAAACTACATCTTCAGGGGGTGCGAATAAGAATATGAGACTATATACTTTACGACTGCCCAATGTTCTACTAGCAGATTTGTATTTGGGGAGTTTTGGCTAACACTGGCTGATATGAGAGAGGCACCACTGTGGACGACATCAACTACATCAAGTTTGTAGGGTGGCTGATAAGCTAATGGGACTTAATTTAAGAGGATGCCCAATGGGCCTAGTGTGGCCTAAGTGTCGTAGGGCAACCCACCCTCCACAAGTTACAGATAATAAATACCTAACCTCTATTTTTCTTTGTTTTACATAATTGATTACTAACTGCATGCATGTTTAAAATGTTATCTACTTTAGGAATGTATCTATATATAATCGTCTCGGTGGCTCAGTGTGTTGAGTGGCTGGTATTCCATTACAGGCCTTTTAATGGTACAGCGACAAACGCTTCAAATCCTAGACAAACCCGTTTAAATTTTTATTTAATTTGTATGGTTCATTGTAGGATTTGATGGGTGCCGTATTAGCAGCAATTTAATTTCTGTTATTATGGCATTTGGGTCTTGTTTTAGTGTTGCGAAGGGTGTATTAATTTATGAATTAGAGTGGAATTTATTGTTAATAAAATAATTTATACAGGGTATCCCGTAACTCGATGGCCATGGCTTCAGATCGTATTCCTTGGGCCATTTTAAATCGAACGTGCCTTATACACTTTTGTACATTGGCAATATAAAATTTAACAATAAATAAATCTGGTAGGCCATGTAATTGTTTTGTTATGGTGACATTGTTTATTCTTTGACATTGTAATTTTAAGATTAATTTGATATGTCATATTGTTTATTCTTCATAGTTATAGGTATTTTTCTTTTTTAATTTTGGACAAGTGTTTCTACTTAAAATTGTCCAAGGTCCTACGATCTTAAGCTATGGCTATCGAGTCACATTGCTACCTGTATTTACCTATATTTTTTGTTTTAAAAACACTTGCGTCTTGCTTTAAGATTAAAGGGTCAATTAATTAATTAAATTGGTAAATTAGAGGGGAATTTACTTATAATAAAATGATTTGTATGGTTTGTTCCTTAAAAAAAAAACATTGAAGTGTTTAATTTGTGAATTTATTTATAATAAAATACATAATTTTTGATATGCACTGAATGATCTTTTAAAGAACGATAACATTTTGGGACGTAGTTCAATAATTTATATTGCAAATTTTTCTTAAAGTCACTTTCAGCAAAGTGCTTTTAACGTTGAACTTGTATTTTCTTCTTCTAGCATGGACCCACTTTTTACACAATTCAACTATTTACGGAAAACAGAAAAACTTTACGTTGGGACACGGTTTTTTTTTTTCGACTAATTGTCAGAATGGCATCCGTAAACTACACAATGCATTGTTTTTATACAATAATCAGTCGAAAAACATTCAGAAAATCGTCTGTTGCCCGTAAATCACGATACAAACAATAACAACAATGGTAAAAAGACGCTGCGATAGACGTAGGCCCGCTAACGATGGTACTGAGTCAATAAACAACAAATTACGTCATCACTAATACATTCTATTATAGTAAATAAAAGAAAAATAAGCAAAACTAGAAGAGATTCAGAGTCCATTTACTTTACTTTTCAATACCTAACAAAATGTAAATAGTTATATATGACCATGCAATTATAAAATGCGAATTCAGTGAACCAAATAAAAATAAACCATTCTGTCATTAATATTGACATAAGTGTTTAATACCTAAAATCACTTTAATGAAATAATAAGTTAATTTTTGACATTACTAATGCGCCGCATCTAAAAAATATGTTTTTGACACTTAATCCACTTAATTTTTTCTAAAGTAGGCATTGAAAAAATCTCAAATGACAGATTATAATTTTTCTTTTTTTTGCCTAGAACAAATAAAAATTATTAAAAATGAGACGATTAATCATGTTTTGGTAAAATGTTACTCGTTTCCAAAATGCAGGATGTTAAAGTTAAAAATTTTAAAATTATTATGTTAATTGTATACTTTAACTAAATTCGACAAACGTTTTTTAGTGTGATAAGATATACCTATCAGCAAAAAAATCAGTTAAATAAACTTTGTCAGTGGCGTACGACATGGCTAAGTAACACCATCCTTTCTAAATTTTACACCACTGTCCAAAAATTTATTTGGACTATAATTTTAATTCTTTTGAGGTTTTAAATAAATCATGTACTCTCGTTGGAAATTTATAAAAAATTCAAAATTAAAAATAAATTTTATCCACAAAATCAATACATTTAAAATTATAGTCCAATAAGTTTTTGAACAGTGGCGTAAAATTAAGAAGGGATTAAAGTGTTACTTACCCATGCCGTACGCCAGTGGCAAAATTTATTTAACTGAGTATTTTCTGATAGGCGTATCTTATGACATCAAATATTTTTGTCAAATTTAGTAAAATTATACTAAGAAATAAAAAATTATAGCCATTAGTAATTTTTGAATTTTCAACCTTACCTTGTATTTCGGTAACGAGTAATATTTTATTTAAGCATGTTTGATTTAATCGCCTTATTTTTAATCAGAGAATCTTTAGCTGTTCTGTGTCCCATCCTGTATTTGATTCAGATACGTTAGAAGTTATCACGGTCATGTATCACCTGCACATACTTTGATTTTCTTTTACTATACGGAGAATGGTCGCACTGCGCAGCTTTCTGAGTGCCTTTTAAAAAGAGATAGAAAACTCCGCCATTTTGAACCCTTATTACGTGTTGCCTATATCTTGGCGCAATATGTTTAATATGTGCGTTTTAATCATCCGCTTCGCTTCGGAATTGTCGGTTTTCTTGTTTTAATCTGACAGGTTAAAACGACTAAACCGACAATTCCGGAAGCAGAAGCGGATGATTAAAACGCACCTGATATTTTGCTTGCTGCTGTCAGTGTCAGTGAATATTATTTTTGTGGTCACAGTTTATTGCTAAAGAATCAGTTAGCTCACTCGGACCAGTTGAAAGTTCCAAAATAACATCCACTCCAGGGATACAAATTCAGGATACGCAGAAGACTGCTGTTTTATTATAGGCGGTTATCATATATTGTATTATCCGAGTTGCACAGTGTATAAACTGAAACATTGAGATCAAAAGTGCCGACGCAGAGTGAGCGATCTAGCTGTAAACTGTGTCACAGGGTTCAAAATGGCCGCGAGCTATGTTGGGCGTGTCGGGTCTCTCTCTTGCCTCGTATAGTAATCAAAGTATGTGAGTGCGACCATTCTCCGTATAGTAAAAGAAAATCAAAGTATGTGCCTGCCTTTGACGTTCATGACCTACTTTAGAAGCATTTTTTGTAGATCAGACGTACTTTGCCTTCTTTATGTTAGACCCCTAGGGGCCATATTAATTTCGTCAATTTTAACTGGTAACTAAAATGCCATTATTTAAATTTAGTATAGTTATCTTTGTATGCAAAACAAAAAAACATATTTACAAATCCTACCCTGCAGTTGACTAACATTTTAATTTAGCAGAATATGCTAAATTAATGATGATGTAATTTTGGCCACTGACAATTACAGTGACAGTAGACTTGTTTATTATTTTTAAGCACGTTTTGTTTACCTAAATTATAAAGTTTTTGAACTTTTATAAATATATTTCTAAAGTAGTGCAGGGCTGCCAGATTCAGTACGTTTGTACTGAATTCAGTACTTTTTCAGTACGTCAGTGTTAAGTTGTTAGTTTTAGTACGTTTTTGTAAAAATAGTCAATTCAGTACCATCTTCGGTACTATTTGGACATTTTTCGAATAAAGTGACGTATTTTATCAACAAAATAGTCAATTCAGTACCATTTTCAGTACTATTTTGACATTTTTTGAATAAAGTGACGTATTTTACTAACGATGGATGACAGTTGACAGTTAAGTCATGTGATGAGTCAAATAATTTATTTGAAATTGAAATGTATTGCACGTTTGTTAGTTGTAATTCTGAAAGAAAAATGGATTAAGACGTTTTTTCTGTTATACGTAAAGATTATATAATTTAATAAAAGAGTTAAACCACAAGAAAATCATTTTTAGTTCACTTGTTTCATTTGTTCCAATGGGGTAAAATTTTTCTATAAAAGTAATTTAATATTTAATGAATTTAAATCTCCAGCCATTTTTAAGGTGTTAT